GCAACCTCATTCCCAGGGCCTTTTCCCTTAGCTGGGGGCCAGCTAAGGGAAAAGGCCCTGGGAACGAGGTTGCTTTCAGGAGTTAAAAAAGGTGGATTTGGTACCTCCTAGGCTGTTCAGTCTCGAAAGGTCCACAGTAGCAACTTCTGTGATACCTTTTAGGGCATTGCACCAAAAATATGTGAGAGTGCGTTGTTGTAGAATTGGTGTCTTTTAGGGGTGAAAAGAATTTTTTGCCACGCCCACAAACCAAGGACCTTGGTACCTCCTTAGTATTTCTTTTAGAACCACTTCGCACCACGAATTGTCAACACTCATAAGATCACGTCTCCCTGTAGCCCGACTTACGATCTTGGATCGTCTTATTGTAGTTTATGGACTAGAGCGACGACTGGAGCGAGTACTACTGAAAAGAGGGAGTGAGGGCAGGGGCTTGGCAGGGGGTGAGAAACAACCTCGTTCCCATGGCCTTTTCACTTACCCACCCTCAAGGAGGGAAAAGGCCACGGGAACGAGGGTGGGTAAGAAATAGATTTTAAAAAAAAATCAGATAGGTGATATCATGAGTGCAATTTTGTTGTCTTTTGATAAATTTTCCTTTGAGCCACCAAATGTTCAGCTTTTCTAGCAATTAAACTATCATGGAAACAGAAAAAATTATTAGTGAATGAGAGTGATCTTAGCACACCGCGTGACGCGAAGATAAAGCCTCCAAAAAAAAAAATTCAGGCCCGTACGGGAGTTGAATCTATGACCTCCTCTTAGTTCCAATATATGATATTAATATATTCATAATCGTTCACAAAATATTATGATCAAGATCTATAGCTAGAGTTGAAAATGCCGTGATTAGCTCCTAATGAACAAGATCCCAGCAGACACAAAGCCTTGGAATTTTCTTTCTGTGCAGATTAGCAAGGGAGATTTGTTGATTTTAACCAAAATTTTACACAGTGGCGGATCCAGACCTCGAGCTAAAGGGGGAGGGGGCTATTTTTTAAAACCTAAACAAAGGGGGCCCCGAGCCCCTGGGCCCCTCACTTAGTACCGCCACTGGTATTTGCGATTGAATTCAAGACTCATGAGCTCCTTTCGTGATATGTTTGAAAAAGCGAATAAAAGTAGACTTTCACGAATGACTCGAATGAAAAGGGAAATTGTCCAATGACAAACCTAGGAAGAACCAAAAATGATCCAAGTTAGACAAACACCTGAAAGCATATGAAAAGCACATGGTGTACATGACAATCCGGCTTAATGGCTACATCCTCCTCCCACCGCCTCACGACACACACAAAAAAGAAATTTAAGTATTTCACATAGGTTTGTAATCGAGTTTAATATGTAGATATTAATACAATAACTGTTATGCAATACGATGTATGATATCACAGTTTGAGTGGGATTCCTGTTCTCATCTGGCCAATTAGCTTTACACTGCCACACATTCAGCGTTGAGACAATTACAGCGACATGGCCTGTATATGTATCCAGCTGGACATTTCGCGATATAGTCGCACGGATCAAACCCCCTCTGTTGTGCCTCATAACATTCCTTACTAGTTGGCGGTGGGTTGCAATGGCATCTTGCTGTTGCAGACGGACGTCCTGTAGTTTGGAAAATAAATGTTTTACGGGCTAATGTTGATTTTTTTTTCAAAGAGATTAAAAAGGAAGGGGGTTTTGTACCAGCATCATATATGGAATTTTGAAAATGCTGGGAAATGTTAATTATCATACTATGAAGTGATTTTCATTTCATGAAAGAGAAGAGGAATCCCTTGACATTCTGTTCCAGTACCAATAGTCCAACTACCTCGATACTCCATATTACGTGATCCTGAGTCACATCTTGTTGCCAACTATTGTTAGATTAAATGATATCGTTTTCTTCAGGTGGCCCGTCGCCTTTTTCAGTATGCCTGTATTCCACTGTNAGCCCAGTTTGGTGGTTTGATGATTTTCAATGCACCTCATTTTCTACAGCATCATATAAAATCAGTTTTAGATCAAATTCTTTGTGTAGAATAAGTGCTTTGGGCACAACATTAGGAAAACCTGATTAAATTTGTGTTCATTCAAATAAACGTTATTTACATCTTGATGTCTATGCCCGCTGTGCATGTCGTATGATTCTTAGTCTCTTAGTTATTTGGAAAGATTTCCTTCCAGATTTTGTCTCACCATCTCCCTAATATTATTTTCTATCCTCTTTTGCCGTGTTTCAGATCCATGTTTCCATCGTAGCAAGCTTTCAGATTTGATCACATTGATACTGCAACCTATTTCATCTAGACGGCGAATTAACACTATACAAATCTAAGTTCGTTATAAATCTCAAAAGTCAAGAAGAAAGTCTCGTGTTCATATAGTCATAGAATTTCGATTGAATGTTTGAGGTTACGACAGAGATTACAATCTTGATTCTAACTCAGCGGCCTCTTCTTTTGGCTCCTTGTCATGTCTCTTGTTTTCTTCTTTTTGTGTTTTGAGGCAAAGACTGGTGGTTGACCAGCCCCTTTTTCTGTACACAATTCTTTTAAATTCGGTATTGATCTTGCTGCTTAAGAAAATGTACAGCCATGGATTGATGGCGCTGTTGGCGTGACCAAACCAGAAACACACAAACGCGACAATCGGCTGAAGATTAACTCCAATATTCCATGTTTGCATGACATATATCATGTGGACCACTTCTGCTGGGAGCCAGCAAAGGGCAAAGGCAAAGGTAACAATAATGAGCATTCGAACCACTCTTTTCTTGGACGTTTCCTGTTGGTTTCGAATCGAGTTTTCATTTCCAGGTACAACATGGAACCATAACTTCCATGCAGCGATTGCATGAAGGGAAGAGATGACGACCAAAGGGATCAGGTACTGGATGAGCACAAGGTACAGGATTATTCCTCGGAGAGCTTTCAATGGATCACCCAGAATATAGACAGATAGCATGCATTGCGAATTGTGCTCTTCCAGGTGTTGAGTAGGCAGGAATATGGCCATAGAGGCCAGTGACCAGATCCAAATAAGTGGCACTGTTATTTTATACTTTCGGAACCAAAGATGGCGGCGGAGTGGATGAACAATGGCATAGTACCTGTCGATTGCCATCAATGTCAGGCATAGGATGGAGGCTGTCACTGAGACAAACACAGTGTATACCACACCTTTGCACATGACATCTCCAAATACTCCATGTATCATCCAAATGCCGTCT